CCTGGTGGTCGACGAAGGAGGGGCCGACGTCGACCTCGACTCAGGACGCCGAGCAGTTGGGCGTCGAGTAGCGGGGCGTCAACTTCGTGATGCCGACTTCGGGTGGCCGACGTGGGTGGTCGGCCGACAACTATGCTGGCCGACTTAGTGCTGGTCGACGTGGAGCTGGTCGACTAGAAGGGAGAGTCATGCTGGTGAGCGTAGATTTGTCAAAATATCATGTTGTGTAGGCTGTAGTGGGGTACATATGAGGTGCAACCCAATTAGGGTTAACTACTTCTACTCCTGCATGCTATTAGTTTCATTCATTTCTTGCTTACACTTTCTAACATGGTTTCAGAGCAGGTTCTCTCCTAGGACGGTTTTTTTAGGGCCCACCGAATCGCGCAACCCCACACGACGCGCCGCCCTCTTAGTGCTGCGCTGCCCTGCCCTGCCCTGCATCGCACCCCCGCGCGCGCCCTGTCCTACGTCGCGCCGCCCGCGTACGCTCTGCCCTACCCTGCCCACGCGCCGCTCGCCACCGTGCCCCCGCCCTGCCCGCGTGCTGGTCGCCGCCGCGCCGCCCTGCCTTGCCCGCACGTCTCCCGCCGCCGCGTCACCCTGCCGTGCTTGCGCGCCGCTTGCTGCCGCGCTGCCCTGCCCTGCCCGCGCGCCGCTCGCCGCCGCGCCGCCCTGCCTTGCCCGCGTGCCGCTAGCCGCCGCGCCGCCCTGCTTTGCCTGCGCGCCGCTCGCCGCCGCACCGCCCTGTTCTGCCCGCGCGCCGCTAGCCGCCGCGCCGCTCTGCTCTGCCTGTGCGCCGCTCGCAGCCGCACCCCCTTGCCCTTCCCGCATGCGGCCCTGCTGGCTGCCGCCTACCCTAATCTGCCTGTGCGCCACCCTGCTGGCTGCTGCCCTGCTTTGCCCTGCTTGCATGCTGCCCTACTGCTAGCGCGCCCAACTGCTTAGCCTGCATTGGCTACAATCTGTGTGCTCTCGTTCGATGCACAGGGCCGTCCGACACAGCTCGACACGTGGCTAGATGACCTGCACCTGTACTTACTGAGCGATTCTAGGGACGGTGTCTCAATGTTCGACCTCACGTCTAGAGCCGCTCTCGCCCCTTCCGCCACAGCTGACAGTGCGACTCACTCATAATGGCTTACCCGTGACGCTGCTGCTCGCCTAGCCGTTCGCAACCACCTATAGTTAGCCGAACGCGCTCACATTGGCCAGCACAAGACTGCTAAAGCCATATATGACGCTGTAGTCGCTCGTTACTCCTCCCCGGCCCTTGCTCCACAAGTGGCCGCACTGGTCAGACATGCGGAAAGCCTCACACCCAGTACCGCTGCTTCTCTCGTCTTGATGACGCCTTTCGCATAGAGTTTCCCGGCGCGACTGAGCTTCCCGACTTAGCAGCGCTGCTTAGGCAGGGTGTGGATAACATTGCTCTTCATTATGATGCTATCATTGCTGCCATGTATGCATTGACTGTTAGTGCTGAGGGTGACTGTTACCTGTGTATGCCGCCCGACCCAGGTATAGAGGCTGCTGCTCTAGGTGCTAGTGAGTCTGCGCTCTCTGGTACTGCGCCTGCTGCGGCCTTGCACACCTTCACGCTTGACTTGGGTGCTTCCCGCTACTTCTTTCGCGACAGCACCACAGTCACACCACTTGCAGCAATGGTTGCAGTCTCTCTGGCTGACCCCTCTGGGGGCCTGGTTCTTGCATGTTCCTCCACTATCCTCCCGTGACTGGCGGTTCCGTCTGGCTCACTATCAGGTCTTCATCTCCCCTCATTCTCTAACAACTTGGTAAGCAACGCCGTCCCTCAGGATTGGGTTGATACCTTTACCCCTGGAAGACAGCGTGTGGCGATCTGTACGTGCTCTCCGACTGGCCATCACCTGGCCACGTTCACCCGTCGGCCAGGGTCGAGTCTATACACACTGACCACTAAGCCTCTTCAGGTAGCTGCGTCTGCATATGCGTCGTGTCTGCATATGCGTCGTGTCAGCTAGCGGCCCCCTGTTCGTGTCGCGCCCTGTCGCACCAGACGCTCCTATGGCACCACCGCCTTGGTCACCCCTCCGTGCCATGCCTCCATGGCATACACTCCTGTCACCTTGTTTCAGGTCTTCCCAAGTCTCTGCCTCCCCTGCCACCCTTGCCTGCCCTTCCCTGCCTTCCCTGTGTCGAGGGGCGGCCGCGCGCCATTCCTCACTCCTCCTCGTTTCCCCCGACAACTGCTCCTTTGCAGACTCTCCACATGGACGTGTGGGGCCCAGCCCGCGTCCGTGGACAAGGCTGTGAGCGCCACTTCCTGCTAGTTGTTGACGACTACTCACATTACACCACGGTCTTCCCCTTGCGTAGCAAGAGGGAGGTCCCGGATGTTTTGACCCCTTGGATCCGCGCTGTCCGTCTCCAGCTCCGCGAGCCGTTCCACACGGACCTTCTAGTCCTGTGTCTGCACTCTGACAGAGGTGGTGAGTTTGCCTCCGACCTCTTGCGGGACTTCTGTCGTGGGAAGGGCATCACCCTGTCAGCTTTCGGCCTCTCCGCAGCAGAATGGGGTTGCTGAGCGCCGCATTGGCTTAGTCATGGCGGTCGCTCGTACCTCCATGATCCATGCAGCTGCCCCCTATTTTCTGTGGCCATTTGCGGTCCGGTATGCTGCGCATCAGCTCAACCTCTGGCCTCGTGTCTTCTTGCCGCAGACCTTGCCTACACTGCGTTGGACGGGGAAGGTTGGATATGCGTCGGTGTTCCGGGTCTGGGGCTGCCGTGCCTTTGTCTGCGATACGTCCGCGGACAAGCTCTCCTCCCGCGCCATTCCCTGCGTCTTCCTTAGCTTCCACGCTGGAGGCCCTGGAGCTGGAGGCGCTGGAGCTGCTGGTCCCCGAGGTATTCGTACTGGAGGTCCTGGAGCTGCTGGAACCGGAGGTGCTGTAGGCGTTGGAGCTGGAGGCACTGGAGCTGGAGTTGCTATAGATGCTGGAGCCGCTGGTCCCGGAGGTGCTCGTACTGGAGGTGCTGGAGCTGCTGGAGCTGGTGGTGCTACAAAAGTTGGAGCTGGAGGCGCTGGAGCTGGAGTTGCTGGAGGTGTTGGAGCTGCTGGAGCTGGTAGTGCTGCAGGCGTTGGAGCTGGAGACTTTGGAGCTGGAGGTGCTGGCCCTGGGGGTGCTGGTTTGGGAGGCACCGTGCAGCCGCGACCGTACTTCGTTCCACTACTTCAGCAGGTTCTTGGTCTCCCGTCTTCTAGTGACCTTACTCCTCCCTTACTGTGTCCACCACCTGACCAGCCGCAGCTGCAGTTACAGCCAGCCTCCCCACTACTTGCTCCTTCTCTTTACACTGAGCAGACCGGAGGTCTTACTGAGCGTCGTGAGCCTGCGTCTCGTCCTGCGTTGCCTGTTCCTCCGTAGCGTCCTCCTCCTCTCCCCGGCATGCACCCTATGGCACTTCGTCCTTCCTCTGTTCCAATGCAAGTTCCCGTGCCGTCTCCTCCTGCGTCCTCTCTTCCTGACGTTCCTAACCCTACGTCCGACCTTGTATGTACTACCAGTCCTACTGTCACTCATCTTCTCGCCACTGTTATCAGTGACCCTTCGTTTGAGTCCACTGCTACGTCTGCCATAGTTGCTGAGCTTGTTGACTTTGCTGCTGCCTGTCGTCTCGACAACTCCGCTAGTCTTGTTGCTGAGTCTAAGTCTGTCTATTCTCCGTCCGTCGAGGATGAGTGTGCTCTTGGCACGGACGTCCTCGAGGACAGTTAGGAGGACTTTGAATGCTTTGTAGCTACTGTACCTCATCTCGTGTCCATGCTGATTGCACCTGAGGGAGACCCAGATGCACCAAACATCCCGATCTCGCGCTCTTACCCAGAGGCGATTTCGGGTCCCTACTCCTCTTAGTGGCAGACAGCCATGGACGCACAGATGGAATCCTGGAAGTCCACAGGCACTTACGTCGACGCAGTTCCCCCTCCTGGGGCGAACATGGTTGATGGCATGTGGATTTTCAGGGTGAAGCGGCCGCCAGTTTCTCCGCCTGTCTTCAAGGCGCGTTACGCTGCACGAGGCTTCAGTCAGCGACAAGGAGTTGACTTCTTCCAGTCCTTCACCCCTACCCCAAAGATGACCACTCTTCGGATGTTGCTGCATGTCGCTGCTGAGCGTGACTACGAGCTTCACTTTCTTGACTTCAGCAGAGATTTCTTATAGGGCAGCATGCACGAGGAGATCTGGCTGCGCCGCCCACCTGGCTTCCTTGGGTCATTTCCTGCCAGTACCTAGTGGAGCCTCTAGCGGCCAGTCTACAGTCTCCGCCAGGCGCCTCGCGAGTGGCACGATAGACTGAGGACGACGCTTGCGGCTCTTGGGTTCTCTCCTTCTACTGCTGACCCGTCGCTGTTTCTGCCCACCGACACTTCACTGCCGCCATTCTACATCCTCGTGTACGCGATCTGTGTTTGCATGTTGACATGGATTACGCCGCTGTTGCAATGGGATTTAGAAGTGGCGATGGATCTGGATCTGGATCTGGCCGCCATGGATTCTGCCGCGATGGTTAGCTCGTTCGCTCTAAGAGGTCTACAAGCAACTCGCTATAATTCTGATTGTTTTGGAATCAGCTCAACGCGACGAGCAGATTGGTATAACTATTGTTCTCATCGTACGGGCATCATACCATTCTTGTTATCTGAGTGTTCCGCTAACTCTGTCATGCTTCCCAAGATACCTCGAGCTTCACGTCATTTCGCAAGGCGGTCCGGCTCTTTTTAGTTTACTTCTTACGACTACAACGCTACACCCTATCGTGTAGTTTTTATTAAGACTCAGGGAACTGCTATCCTTGGGCTTTCAACCTCGGAAACTCAGCATTTGGAGCTGGAGATCTGGTCTGTCCGCAGCGCACTCCTACTATTAAAGCGCACTCTCGAGTTGGCTTTTACTTCATTGTTCTCTAAGGCGTCTTCTCCTCACCCTACGTCTTCTCTTCTTTTGTTCGCCACAATGCCGCCTAAAGGCTCTCGCAAGGCTGTGGTGGACCCGCTGGTTGCTGACACCAATACTCCGACGGATCCTGCATTGTCAACCGCAGAAGGGAAGAATGAAGAGTCAGTGATCACGGCAGCTCAAGTTGTTGACAACGCTGCTGGCTCATCTGGACTCTCAGTGGAAGAGAAGTGTGACACTACTGTGGATCTGGACGATGCTGTTGAAAAGTTGATGGACGACTCCGACGATGAACTGGATGTTGACTTCAAGGCTGATGAGCTTTGCAGGCTGCGGTACACGGCGATTCTGCTTGTCCCCTTCCTCCTTCACCATGAACTTGCCTCGGTTGTTTCTACTGTCCGGCTGCTGATGAGGCGGGTGTGGTCTTCAGTCGTGTCTGCTGATGTCGCTAACACCTCGAAATTCCAGATCCTGCACCCGGCATACGTTGCTAAGACACGCTTCTGCATGCTACAGATCTCATTCCTGTTGGAGGGGGACGCTCTCAATGTAAGGCAGCAAGATGTGGATTATCAGCGCGTGAACGGAAAGCTGGTCAGGCTGTACTGGCTTCGTGCGGACGACCCGTCCTTTGTCCGTGAACGCGCCTCCAACCCGCTGGCTACGGAAGTCGTTTTCAGGCATGTCTCGGCTTCTGTCTCTCCTGAAACGCTACAATGGCTGCTGGCTCACTACAAGCTCAAGATCAACCAGAAGCTGATCTACAAGGAAGGCCTCTGTTTCCACAGGTTACTTCATCCAATCACAGGTGTTGACACCGACGTCATTAAGGGCCTTGTGGTTCCCCATCCGAACGGCAAGCTGCGCTGGCGTCACGCAATCAACGACCCATCGGACCCGGAGAAGCTTATCCTGATCCATTACCCGTCGCTGTCGTGTAAACTCTGCGGGGGGCAGCACGATGACAAGCATCACGACGCATATGTCACTGAGCGGCAACACAACATCGGGAAATGGAACCTGTCTCTGGGTAGAGCGCACAGAATCAATGATAACTCCTCTGTTCTATTTGTTTTACCTCTCCCATTGCTGGTGCTCACTGCTAACCCGCAAGTGGTCCTTTGCAGCTGCCTCCCTGCGTGTGAACCCGCTTAGACTGCCGATCGTGCTGGATCCTGCAGTTGCTCTCATCTCCACCGGCAACCTGCGGGAGGAATGGTTGTGCACTCAGACGGGCTACAGGAAGGCGCACGGAACGTTCCTCATGGATGATGCTGCTCACATCAAGCAGGCAAACCATCTGCAGCATCTCGAGACGCTCGGCACTGCCACCAAGCCCACCCTCGAGAAAGCAAGTCTCAGCGCGATCAGGAAGGACTACGGGATTTAGCTCACATGCTCGTAGTGGTCTCAGCGGCAGTCGCAGTAGTCTTCACGGTAGTCAGTGTAGTGGCCTCAATCACCCTGTGGATGCGTAGGGCTCGTCAATCTGTTGTTAAATGACTAATAAAGACGCCCTCACCTTTGCGACACTGAACGTGAACGGTTTAGGTGACCGGCTGAAGCAAGCTAGAGTTCATGACTGGGCTAGAAAGACAGCAGACTTCTTAGTTTTGACAGACACTAGGCTAGCCTCCAGCCACCCTTACTGGACCTCTCTCACCTCCTTTAGCACTGCGGCGGCCTCGGCGCAGACGAAGGCAGGGGGGGTAGCTATCCTTTGTAGAAATCCGCACTTCAGCCTCCGCGACGTAGTAGAGCATCCCTCCGGTAGGATCCTGCAGGCATGCGCATATAGCCAAGTTTTCGAGTTAGTCTTATTAGCAGTTTACTTTCCTGCCGACTCAACTTCTAGAAACGCTTTTGTTGCGCATACCCTGGGCCCGGTCATTGACCAGATCCCTCCTTCGTCTCACCATATTATAGCAGGGGACCTCAACTTAGTTGAAAACCCGCTCCTAGACAAATCGTCCAAGCTTGGCTCCTCTTATGAGAACGACCATCTCTTCCGCCGCTGTAGCGCTTTTCAAATCTCTGACGCATTCCGCACGCTCCACCCTAGGAAACGGGAGTTTACCTTCCACTCAAGAGCGAAAGCTGCCAGTTCCCGAATCGACCGCATCCTCCTCTCCCGCTCTCTTTTACCACATCTGGACACCACCGCGCATGACATGCCAGAAGAGACTATCTCGGACCATGACTTCGCTATAAAGATTGGGTTAAGACTCCACCTTAAGACTAGATCTGGCCCAGGTCTCTGGAGGCTCTCGCGTGCCATGATAAACAAGCTGGGTGTTAGAAAGATAATAGAATCTACGGTTAATAGGACGCGTGTTAAGGACGGTACTCCTTACCTCACGTCTCAATGCCGGGCTCAGGTCCTATGCCCGCGAGGAGAGGAAGCGGGTTCGGGCGACCACATCGCATCTGGCGGATATCGTGGCGCGGTTGAAGCAGGAGGCTATGGCTGACCCACATGGCTTTGCTCATGGTGATCTGCTGGAGGCCAAGTCGAAGTAGTTGAAGGAGTACGTGGCCTCGAGAAGGGAGCACAGGTGCTGGCAGGGACAAAGGAGGAGCTGGTGGGGGAGATAGCCTCGAGCATCTGACAGCAAAAATCCAGGCTCGGAAGGCCAAGACTCTGATCTCAGAACTGCACGTAGACAGGAAGGTGATATTGGGCACTAAAGGGATCCTAGGTGCGGCGTCGGCCTACTTCTCAGGCATTTTCGGTGAAGATCGTCGTAATAGCTCCAAGAAATGGACACCGGCTCCATGTAGTAAGCTCTCCTCAGTCGCAACGGAGAGCCTTGTTACGGATTGGACGGAGGGGGAAGTGAAGGTTGCTTTTAAGGCGATGGCGGCGCACAAGTCCCGGGGCAGTGACGGCTTGCCAAAGGAACTCTTTGAGACGCACTGGGACGTGCTGGGGGGTAGCTTCATGGAGCTGGCGCGGGATTTTGCCGACACTGCCACGCTACCTGCGGAAACAAAAGAGGCGGTTACCATCCTTCTGTCAGGCATATCTGCGCTAGTCTGTGTAGGCTGTAGTGGGGCAGTTCATATGGGGTACAACACTTTAGGGTTTACTACTTGTACTCCTCATTTTGCTCAATGCATTCATTCCTCGTTTCTCATCATGGTATCAAAGCAGGTTCCCTAGTGGGAACGATTCCTAGGGCCCACCACGATATTTTTTCCTGCCCGGAGCGCGCTTCGCTCCTGCCCGAGTCGCGCTCTACGACCCCTCCCGCCGCCCTTACGGCCACTTACGGCCCCCCCGCGTCGCCCGTCGACTCCCCTCGCGGCGCCCTTACAGCCCCTTACGGCCTCGTCGCCGCCTCGTCTAGGCCCCTTACGGCCCCGTCGCCGCCCCGTCTAGGCCCCTTACGGCCCCGTCCCCGCCTGTCTGGGCCCCTTACGGCCCAGTAACGGCCCCGTCTAGGCCCCTTGCGGCCCCTCTGCGGCCCCGTCTAGGCCCCGTGCGGCCCCCCTCTGCGGCCCCGTTGCGGCCCCTTGCTGCACCTCTGCGGCCCCGTCGCCGCCACCTGCGGCCCCGTCGCCGTCACCTGCGGCCACCCCGCCGCCACCTGCGGCCCCGTCGCCACCACCTGCGGCCCCGTCGCCGCCAACTGCGGCCACGCAGCCGCCACCTGCGGCCTCGCCGCCACCTGCGGTCCCGTCGCCGTCACCTTCGGCCCCGTCGCCGTCACCTGCAGCCCCGTCGGCCTCCCCTAGCGGCCACGTCGCCGCCCCTACTGGCCCTGTCACCGCTCAGCCCCCCAGCGACCGAGCCGCCGAGCAGCCCAGCAGCCGAGCCGCCCAGCAGCCACGCCGCCCAGCAGCCGAGCCGCCCACCTACCGAGCAGCCGAGCCGCCCTGCAGCCGAGCCGCCCAGCAGCCTAGCCGCCCACCTGCCGAGCAGCTGAGCCACCCAACAGCCGAGCCGCCCAGCAGCCGAGCCGCCAAGCAGCCAAGCCGCCGAGCAGCTGAGCCGCCCACCAGCCGAGCCACCGAGCCGCCCAGCAGCCGAGCCGCCCAGCAGCTGAGCCGCCCAGCCGCCGAGCCGCCGAGCCGCCCTACTGTCGATCCGCTGCTGTTCCTACTGGTGAGCTAACTCCCTACTAGACCACTGTAGTCATGGCTACCCCCAGTGTCCTTACTTTTGATGCTGAGGGCCGTGTCGTTGACTTTGAGGTCTGGGTCGATGACCTCCAGCTGTTCCTCCAGTGCGATAGGGCAGACGGCCTCTCTCTGTTCGACCTCACCTCGGGTGCCTCCCCTGCCCCGCCTGCTACTGCTGACAGCACTGTTCGCTCACAGTGGGCGACACGCGATGCTGCTACCCGTCTTGCTGTGCGTCGCCACTTACCGACCACTGAGCGTGCACACTTTAGCCAGTACAAGAGTGCTCAGACCTTGTACGACGCTGTAGTTGCACGCTACTCTTCCCCTGCCACTGCTGCACTGAGCCGCCTCATGCTACCGTACCTCTTCCCTGACCTTGCTGCCTTTCCCACAGTCGCTGACCTCATTACGCACCTCCGCACTAGTGACACTCGCTACTACGCTACGCTTCGTGCTGAGTTCTGCGCCAAGAACCCCCCCCCCATGTACATCACCCTCTACTACATAGTCACCCGGCTCCCTGACTCTCTCCGCGTAGTCACGGACCACTTCCTTTCAGTTTGCCCCACCACTCTCACCGTTGACCTCCTCGAGAAGAGCCTCCTAGCAGCAGAGAAGAGCATAGTCGCTGTAGGAGCCTCTCGTGGTGACCCTCGCACCCCCGTCTTTGAGGGGTGTTCCCCCTCCCCCCTCTTGCCCTCTGTTGCTTCTGCTGCTGCGGCCGACCTCGTTGGTTTCGAGTCGGTCGGCGCTGCGTCTACCCCTAGCGGGAGACGCCGCATCGACAAGGGCAAGGGGGGCAAGGGCGCTGGAGGGGCTGGCGGGGGCGGTGGAGGTGGTGGTGGAGGCAGTGGAGGGGGTGGGGGTGGTGGTGGGAGTGGTGGCGGGGGTGGCGGCGATGGCGGCAGCAGTGGAGGCGGAGGAGGCGGCGGTGGTGGCAGAGGGAGCGGAGGCGGCAGAGGTGGCGGAGGAGGCGGAGGTGGAGGAGACGGCGCAGGCGGCGGCGGCAGCGGTGGTGGAGCGGGTCGCGACTCTGCAAAGAGGAGTGGGTCAGGTGGTGGTCCGCACCAGCAGCAGCAGAGTGGTGTGACTCTCTCCCCTCAGCAGCTTTGTGAGTGGTACGCTGCGCGTCAGCGCGGTGGGGGTGCTGGTCCCTGCACTTACGTCCTCCGTACCGGCGACCGAGCTGGTGAGCAGTGCAAGGGCCCGCACTCCACCCAGCACTGCTTCGGTCGCTTGACGGACGCATGGCGTCGACAGTTCCCTGAGGCGTCAGAGATCCCTCGCTCGGGAGATCTGTCTAGGGCGGGGGTTGCCATCTTTGATCTTGACTATGATGCTATCCTTGCTGCCATGTATTATGTGTCTACTAGTGTTGAGGGTGACTGTTACCTGTGTGTACCGCCTGACCCGGGCATTGAGGCCACTGCTCTAGGTGCTGGTGAGACTGCTGCTCTAGGTGCTAGTGCGTCTTCTGCCCCAGGTGCTAGTGCGTCTGCTGCCCCAGGTGCCAGTGAGTCTACTCTCTCAGGTACTACGTCGGCTCAGGCCTTACACACCTTCACCCTTGACTCGGGTGCGTCCCGCTCCTTCTTTCGAGACCGCACCACTCTTACGCCGCTCAGTCGGCCGGTTGCAGTCTCCCTGGCGGACCCCTCTGAGGGTCCTGTCCTTGCTAGCTTCTCCACTGTCTTACCGTGCCCGGCAGCCCCCTCTGGCACCCTGTCAGGTCTCTACCTCCCCTCGTTCTCTACAAACTTGGTGAGTGGAGTGGACCTACAGGATAGGGGGGTTGACCAGCTCACTCCTGCGAGTCAACGGGTGACCCACTGCACGTGTGCTCCGACAGGCCGACACTTGGCCACGTTCACCCGTCGGCCAGGGTCGAGCCTGTACACCCTTACTACTGAGTCTCCTCCGGCTACTGAGTCTGGCCAGGTAGCTGCGTCGAGTCAGGTGTTTGCTGCAGCGTCCAGGTCTGGTCCTGAGTCTGCTCCCTGCTCGTGTCGTCTCCTGTCCCACCAGACTCTCCTCTGGCACCACCGCCTTGGTCACCCCTCCATGCCTCGTCTCCGAGGCATGGCCTCCCGTGTCCTTGTCTCTGGTCTCCCCCGGTCTCTCCCTCCCCTACCTCCGGGGCCTGCCCCTACCTGCGTCCCCTGCGTCGAGGGGCGTCAGCGCGCCGCCCCTCACTCCTCCGAGTTTCCTCCGACAGAGGCTCCGCTGCAGACTCTCCACATGGACGTGTGGGGCCCCGCCCGC